CTCGCTGCGGAACTTCCCCTCACACGCACACGGCCGCAGCCCGCCCGGCGACGGCGAGGGGAGCGTGGGGGGGCCGGGGCTGAGCTAAAGGGCTTGGCGGCCGCGACGGAAGCGGAAAAGGAAGAGGAAAGATGGGAAAGAAGAAAGAAAAAAAAAAAAAATCAACTGCATTGGCCGGGAATCGAACCCGGGCCTCCCGCGTGGCAGGCGAGAATTCTACCACTGAACCACCAATGCCGGTGATGGTTATAGGTTTCCCGCCCTCTGACTTGTAGCTACTCTGGACAAAAAAGGGCAGCGAAACAGCAATTTCTGGCAACAAATGTGGCAATACATGTGCTGGAAACCTCCTCGGATTCTGAGAACTAGCCACTGTTACGTGTGACAGGGGGAAAACAGTATTGTAGGGGTCCTTCCAAATCAAATCTCTAGTCACGTGCAAGCAGAATACTGTAAGGCTGATGAGTTGTGTCATGTGCCTATCGTCTTTTAAAGCACCTGTGCATACCAAGCTCGTCAGCATCATACGTCTTTTCCTACGATCCCTGTGATTCTTTCCCATTTAACCCATGCGCTATTAAATTTTGCAAGAGCCCTTTTCATTCTCGAGAAACCTGAAGACGCTTCACTGAGTGCAAATAGCTGTTTTCAGCTATTTCCCGTTGGCTACAGCAAGGAAAATTGTCTGCCTCAGAGACTGAGAGCCAGGGAAACATTAATTAATTTACTTTGTCATTATCTCTCAGGCAAAAGTTTATATGCAAAACCAACAACACTAACTCCCTCAGGAGCCACATACACATACACTTGCTTGTTTGCAGCAGGGCTGCAAGAGCAATCTAAGGAACCAAATGGTTTAGACTTCTCATGCCCACAACCTCCAGCTTGCAATACTAGCACAAAATCCACCAGCCACTTTTCCCTCCAGAATCAAGCTAGTAGAAAGTGCACCTCCACTTTTGGGACTTCTTCTCCTTGGAACATTGCAAATCCTAAGCCAATTCTGAATAACAGGAGCAAACTGCAGCGCTTCAGGACCAGACTTCAGTGCCAGGACAGTGGGCAATGAACAGCTTCCAGCTCTCCAGGAACCACCATCAGCAGATACCTAAGCACCGGGCAAAGTTTAAAAGCCTACTGCAAAGCTTTATCAGCCCTTTTCAGTTGAAGACCCCTAAAAAAGTTTCAGTGGACACATGAACCCCATCGCACACAGATTGTACTACAGACAGAAATTCATTTATACTCCAGAATCATTTGTCATGGAGTCCTATGGAAAAAGAGCCAGGAGAAAGGTCTTCAAACTGCAGACTGAACGCTGTTGGGCTGACTCAGTGGACAGGATGTAATGGATGCTGTCCTTTTTCATGGCAGGATTAACTGACCTTGTAAAGTGGCCAAAACTGGCACGGCGACTGCTCTGTAACTTCTCTGCCATGTTTCAAACCCGGCACATGAAACTGCCTGTACATCAGCTCCCAGCCAGGCTAAGGGGATGAAAAGAAGAGGGAGGATGTCAGCTTTCATCTGAGAATGTGGTATTTCCAAACTATCAAATTTCAGAGTTTTGTTCCAGAAATCTACTAATCCTTGCCTGCCTCTCATCACTCTCTTTAGATATGGGTTCAGAATCTTCAGCATATTATTTCTGCTTTGCACCTCCTCTATCTCTCTCCCCCAGCACCAATTTATCATCTTTATTTTCACTGTTTCTCCAAAAGTTTCATTCCAGACCTTTGCTGATACACCTTTTTACAATCCATGATGATGATGTCTGATCCCAGCTGGGATGAATGAGCGTAATATAAATGCCTCTCTCAACAGCTTTCAATTTTTTTTTTCTAATAGTGATATTCTTCCTAAATATTTTCCAATGGAGACATATAGCCCATTAGGGTGTAAACCTATATATGGACCAGCTACAGGTCCACTGACATCACGCCAGGGAGAAGGGGAATATCGAAGAGAGAACTCATTACCCTTACACACAACTTTTCAGGAGATGAGGTGATGAGCTCAGTTCACTCTGTTTTTAATGGCTGCACTTTAGGTGTTAGACAGTATGCTACACCATCCATAGGGAATGCAGACATAGGTTTTTCTAAATGTGCTTAGCATGTCAACATTTTAAGCATCGGCTTGTGATTGTTACCACTAAGGCTTGGTGAGAGAGGGGCCTCGGTATTAACTATTGAAAGCAGGGGGCCTAATAATTGCTATTGAAAGCAGATCTGTGGGGTATTTGTATTCTCTGTCATGAAAGATGTTTACTGTATTCAGCATTTCGCTGATCACCCTATAGTGTCTTTTTTTCTTTTACATTCAAAATTCATTAAACAAAGTTGGGGGGGGGGGGTTAACAAAAAATGTCAGCACCGCTTCACATCAGTCGAGCTGACAGTGCGTTTGACTAGCACTTTCAGCGGACAGAGCTTTTTTTCTTTTTCTAAACCAAAATGACAGTTAAAAAAGAATGTTTTTAAAGAAGGTGCACTGTGGCAGTTTATGCCATCCTTTTTCTTCACAGGACTCAGTTAAGTCCTGCTATGAAAAGTGTATTTCTAGAAACCACTAAAGCACTCCTTCAGAGCTGCACTCCCCAAGCATTGCTCTCTTCCAACAAAAAACACACTCTAGAAGAAATGGTAAGGCTGTGACTGATTACAAAAGCAAGTACAAATAAAGTTCAAATCTTTGAGGACATTAAAATATATTTAATTAAAATTCTCCATGCTGCAAAATGGGCAATTTACTCTCCAGTACTACCTCATTGTACATCAGCTTGGAACAGGGTGTCACTGGGAATATTAATGTATGACCGATGTGCCATTCGCTGTGCCAGAAGGGAAAGTAAGTGGACAACCTTTCCCTCAGACCTTCCTTGGTGTTAATGGTGGGGTGGGAATTTTGGGGGTTAATCTTTCTATTTCACTAAGCAAATAAAATACTGAAAGAAGACAATGGGAAGTGGAAAGCCATGCAAACCAGAACAAATAGAAGAGACAGTAATGAGAATACATTTCAGTATGCATTAGAAAATCTGTTTTGCAGTGCTATTTCACTGCTTTCCCCTCAAAAAAGTTCAACTGTCCATCTCCAAGTATCTTGAAGAAATCCTATTCCTTCAATGTTCGTTTTTATGTTAATGACTTCTGCTTGGATTTACAGTTTCACTTCCATTTTTATTACAAAAATATTACTCTATATTCTACATTGCTTATTATACAGAAAGGATAGTTATTGCCTGTTTCATCTAAATATGGGAAAAAAGAATTAATAATCTCCTAGATACAAACTGGGACAGGAGTTAAGCAGCGTACTACAAGCAAACTAATCCCTATGAAGTTTTCTAAACACGCGGTGATAGCGCTGACAGATCCCAGTGAAAGCACGCATCCTTGCCAGATGTAGTATCAGCCATAGGTTAAGAAGATGTTATTTACATAGATTCCATCTGGTTATAAATTCAGTGCTTACTATTTTCCCAACACATCAGCAATCTCCTGTCAAAGCCCCGAGTAAGGACAAGGGCACTCCTAAAGGGTGTACAAGACAAGAAAAGTGGCAAATGAGGGATTTCAGAGTAGGACGGAACACGATCACAAAAGGATCAGGCACTGCTTCCTTGTGTAAATGTCCTAGTGTAAAAAGGAAAAGGAGGGGAGTTGCAGAACTGAGAGAACAGTAGAAAAGGACAAGAGGGTCAGGAAAAGGGAAGAAAATAACCAAACTGTGGACAAGGAAGTTGGAATATGTTTTCCGACCTCTGTGAAAGGTTTGGACCATGCAGATGGAAAAATATTATACTGTAGTAGTGCACTCAGTGAGGCGAACCAGCAGGCATTCTGCTTTCTGTGGAGTGGCTGCAAGAAAGTGCTCTGTGCCTCAGGAGTTAATGAGAAAGGGGTACTGAGCCGTGGCTTTGCGAGGTGCTGTTCCCAAAGCAGTCTTGTCTTTTAAATCAGTTCTTTACTTCCCTGATATTTAGGGTTTGATGAGTTTCTATTTGGTAAGGCTGCAGAGCACAACCTCACACCTCGCAGCCACAGTCTCACAACAGCCTCTTGGCAAGAGTGACTCCCTGCAACTGGTGACAGCAGGGAAGCCCCAAAGCTGGAGCATCCTTAAAAGTGGGGTGAAAAGCCTCATCCACACAGAAAGGGGAGAGGGGAACTAGGTCCCTTCTATTTTATTCTTGTGTGTTTCTGGGGTGGCAATGGGGACAGAGCAAGGATGATGCAGCCATCATTTCAATTACATTCATATCAAAGACTATGAGATTCATTGTTAGATTCATTATTATATCATATATTCATCATTTTATATATTATTCTTTAAATTCATACATTTATTCTTTAAAAAGCTTTTTTCTTAGTAACAAATGAAATGGAGGGGGGTGGAAATCACATGCAGGTCTTGCTGATTGCCACTGCCAATTTTCAGCTTCCAAAGTGTAAAAGTGACTGATTACAGCTTTAAACTGCTGCTTTAAAACCAGGACGCAGGTAAACTTACCTCAAAGTTACTTAGCAATGCGGCATTTGCATCTTTCCTAAAAGGAAAAATTAAAACGATTCATTTATGTTCCAAATGAAACCATCTCATCTTTGCTGAGCCACACAGACTCTAAAAGAACAGATACTACTTTCATCAAGTTTAAAAAAAAAAAATCAAGAAATCTGTTTTTGGTGATTCTACAGTTACCAAGTTGTTGCCACCTCTGGAAAATATTTTCCCATATTGTTAATAGAATTATGACATAAATATACAGCATATTTTGCACAATTTGCCCCATAAATCATAATACACTTATACAACACAATCTTTTTACTCAGGCACACCATTTCATTCACTCACCCAATTTTACAAAGTAAAACCAAATTGCCTTGCCTCTTCCTTAGAAGAAAGGGCCTCCGGTTCTATCTGAACAAAGGCTGACGGGAAGAATCATTCAGATTGCACACACTATTTATTTATTAGTCAAGAGTACAGAAAAAGAAAATACAATGACTATTTTTAGGACAATGTACAAATTATATATTCTATTATATAGTCATTATTTTATATATTGTATTATATAACATATATTCACTATTATGTATATTATCATCATATTACATTCATATCAAAGACTACTGAATACATTATTAGATTCATTAGAGGGGTATGACAGAGTGATGTGACTCTGAAGGGACAAGGATATTCCCAGAAAAGGAGCTGACCTGTCCACACCCCAGCCCCTCTGGCACTGCAGGAGCACCGCCTAAACCTACACCAGTACCTTCCCTAACAAGCAACGAGAGAGCACCGAGAGCATCTCTGCCCACCCTCCTCCTTGTAGCAGCCCTGCCTCCGCAGAAACTCCTCTCCCGGCGGGGACCGGGAGCTTCACCTCACTTCACCTCACTTCACCTCACTTCACCTCACTTCACCTCACTTCACCTCACTTCACCTCACTTCACCTCACTTCACCTCACTTCACCTCACTTCACCTCACTTCACCTCGCCTCTCCTCTCCTCGCTGTTCCGCAGGTTGCAGCAGTTGCTGGGATCGCCGCACAAACGAGCAAAACGTCGTCCGAAATGGCAGCCGAGGTGAGGGGGGCTCTGCTCTCGGGGTGCTCTGGCCGAGGGGAGCTCAGCTGCGGGGTGACCCCAGCACCCCCGTGTGTGTTCTTTCGGGTGGTTCTCTCTGCTTGCTTTGTTTTCCCGGGTTTTAACTGGAGAAGGGGACAGCAAACATGTTTGCTGTAATATTCCTCACCTCTGATTCTGGTGAGAACCTGTGGTAGGGAAGATAAACTTCGATTCCTCGAAGACATACTTCAGTTCCTCCTCTCCATCCTGCACTTGGCACCCAGCACTGGCCTTTCCCACTCCATCTCCTCGACCACTTCCCCTGGGAGCTTTCCCAGCGAGGAGCTGCAAAACTTTGATTTTTTCAACTCCCATTTCCCCCTCCTCAGCCACAGCTCCTGCTGAGAAACCTGCTTCAAAAAAAAAAAGTCTCAGCATGCCATGCCCGCACCCTGTCCTCACAGGCCCTCTCCTTTCCTCCCTGGCATGCTGGGTCAGGTCGCTCGGGTCACTATGTCCATGGTAGCCCAGCGAGGTGGCCTCGGAGGGTGGCATGGGCCTGTGGGGCTTTTTCCTTCCTTTTCATTTTACCCAAACATTTGTAATACTGATAGGTACCCAGACCTCCCTTTCTGGAGGCTGCACCTTAACCAGTGTTAGGCTAATTTTATGCCAAAGCTTGCAAGAACGTTGTGGACTCTAGAGATGCTTCAAACGGTAACTTCAAATGCTTCATAGCTACAGGAGTGTTTTAGAGGATTTGGCTTGTGCTGGCCCACAGCTCTTCATCAACTTATTGTCTCCCTAAAAGAGCGGGGTTTCTTTAATTATTATTTCAAGTAACAGTAGATACTAGCTTTCACTATACCCCTGATTCCTTGCCAAGAGACTATCGAAGGGTCAGTGATCAGCAGCTGCCTTAAAAGAGAGAACCATGCTGGTCTTGCACCATATGCCCTGGTACTTGTTTCAAGGACAGGACATGCTCCCTGCAGAGCGCTGCAGAGGTAAAGTATCTTGGAGGATTCCTGAGCCAGACCTGACTCCTCAAGGACTAAATGCCGGTGACAGTGACATGTTCTTCACCTCTACAACTACTTGCCAAAGCTCCTGAAATCCAGGGCTTTTCTGCTCAATGGTACAGCACTGAAAAAACATTCCTGAGTATGTCCTCAGTTTTACTTGGATAACAAGCGAGGCAGCCATTAACTGATTTTTAGGGGAGATATCAGTAAGTCTTTTGAACATGCCTCTTAATTTCATTACTTGCAGGGGGATAAAATGCTGGGAGGAAGGTTTGTCGGAAGCACAGATCCAGTCATGGAGATGCTTAGCGCTTCCATTACCTTTGACCAGAGGCTGGCTGAAGTTGATATCCAGGGGAGCATGGCTTATGCCAAAGCCTTGGAGAAGGCTGGGATCCTATCTAAAACTGAGCTGGAGAAGATCCTGAGTGGCTTGGAAAAGGTATCTATTTCCTTCACAAACTGTCATGTGTGCTGGAACAAATGGCTTCTTATCTGACAGCATCTGTAATAGTGTCCTCAAGTTGCCTTCAGTAGACCGAGGCATTCTGGGCATGGGATCAATGCTCAAATTGCATCGCTGGTGCCCGCTAAAGGCACCAAAACCCAGCAGGAGGATGTGAACCAGATGCCAAGCCCCCAGTGGGAGCCTGAAGCCCTGACGAGCACATTGTCCATGCTCGCTGTGGCAGCCCTGGTGCCCCGATGAGGAGTGCTCAGTGTGACCTGCCTCCCCATCTTTCGACTGAACATTCACGAGGAGTTGTTTCAGTATGAATTAGCAATGTTCTTTTTCTGCTGGCACTTGGGATCATTTTGAGTCTGGCTGCCTGAGTTAGTAAGAGGCAATGCATAGCATTGTATAGGGGTGAAGAGAAGTCCACAGCTAAGCGCTTTTTTGAAGTATCCATTGTTGTTGCTCACCCACCATGGACAATGGTGAGTCTATACAATGTTTGTATAGGAAGATCTCTGTGGACAATGCTAAAGCAATCACTGGCATTTCAGCTCACTTTTTCATTGCATTGCTTAAAGCCTCCTATAGCCATTACAATGCAGGATCATCACGGGTAGAGAGATGAATCCCACCAAGTGCCGTATGGAATATGAGGATATAGTGAGCAGCTGGCCTTGGCCTGAAAGACCAGGAATTCCAGAGCTCACGTGAGACTTAACACTTTGATTTCCACTGGGATGGCAGAAGTTGGTATTCGCTGGGGACACTTACAGCCCCCACGCACAGCAGGGTAACAGTAGTGGCTGACTGGTGTTTCTCCTGATGTTTGTAGATCTCTGAGGAATGGTCTAAAGGAGTCTTCGTGGTGACCCAAACTGATGAGGATATCCACACTGCCAACGAACGCAGACTAAAGGTTTGGATCCTCTAACCTCTTGTTCCCGTTCCTGTGTAGCTAGATCTGCCTGACGTTAAGTGACGTTAAGTGCCTCTGTCCCACTGTGAAATTCCTCTGGACCTTGTGGCACTGAACCCCCAGGTGCACAATCAAGCATCTCCAAGCCCCCTTTTGTGGAAGAGGCACTGTACAAGCATAGAACCCAAACTTGCCCTTCCCCAGAGAAGATCCCA